CTATTCTGTAACACAAGCTAGAGAAACGATATCGATATTGAAATCGTCGAAATACGATTCTGACGTCGTTATCGAAACGAATGTACTCAATATATGTAATTAAAACGAATGTGGTGTATAATTCAAAACTTATAAAAAGAAGAGCATAAAATCACAGCACAAGATATTGTTTGCGATATTTAATTTATCATTACATTAATAAAACAATAAAACATTACATTAATGTTTCATTAATGTAATGATATATTAAATATCGCAAACAATATCTTGTGCTGTAATTTTATGCTCTCCTTTTAGTAAGTTTTGAGTATACTTAGTTTCATATAACTCTGTCGTCATAGTATCCAGCCAATGAAATCTCCTATATTTCTTGATGAGTTTAGAAACGTTAAATAACAAGATTAGAATCTTTTAAGTGATAACAGTAAAGTGGAAAAAAAAATAGAAGAGATATATTCCTAACCATAACAGTCGTAAAGTTTAACGCTTAATATCGATTCGCGGGATAGAGAGACAATTATTTCTGCCAGATTCTTTCATTTCATGCAAAAACGCGTCGAATAAACCTAATTTTATTGATTTATAAGCTGCGGGACCTATTCTGTATAATTATCAAGAAAAACAAAGCTTTCAATAAACATGTCACAAGAGTAAGTATATATGTATAAACAAATTAAATTATATATAAAAAAATTAGTAAATCATGTATGAAAGGAGGACCCCGCACAAAATAAAGGGAAACCGGTGTACAGTCAAATGGGCTGGGGATGGAGTATGTTGTAGTTCAAGACATCCCGATGAAAAGTTGTAATGGGCACAAGCTCCGAAAATGGCCAGTTTTTTTAGATAAAATGAGTCAAAAGTTGAAAATGTCGATGCCCGCAGTTACTAGTATAAAATAGTGTAAGGAGTTATTTAACGATGTGATTCGAATGTATTTGTAATACATGCCTACACACACGGTACGTATATGTATACAAACTACCGTCGGCATTAGCGTCACCCAATGTGCACCACGTGGAGATTGCGCGATCGGATTTGCACATCATTTGGGCCCTGATAAGGGCCATTTTTTGTCATTGAAACATTCAAAATGGTTCAATAACTTCTCCTTCGATTTCTTCATCTTGATTATATCTATTAGCAGCATCTTTTATGTGATTAAGTAATGTGACGCTGGGATATTTAGTATTAGGTTGATGTCGTGCGTATCCTAAAAAAGAGAACACTTGCAACATGAGCACATGAACCCAATGTTTGTGAACCTGATACACAAGTACAGTAATAACCGTTATGGGTTCATTATTTTCATCTCCATGAGGTCTGTAAGCAATCCATAATTGATGCTTCGTTGCATTGCGGAATCGAGAGTACACCCAAACTTTAAGAAAGTTAGCTTCATTTCTGTGTTCATCAAGTTCAAATACTTCAGATTCATCGCGCACTAGTTTGTCTTGAATATAAGCAGGTGCTAAACGTATCTGATAAATACCGACAGTTAACTCTTTCAAGAAATCGATGTCAAGTCTTGGAAAATCAAGAATCTGATTTTCATTTAAACGATTCCACATGGCATTTCTTCTTGCCAGATGCTCTGTTTCAACTCTCAGTCTCAGTGTATTTTCAGATCTTGCCTTTTGAAGCATTTGTTCAGCAAGTTCCGCGGTAGCTCCATCCATTAGTATAACGTCTCGGTACCTATTGATTATTGCTCCAGCAATTAAATAAAATGCACGTAGATTAATTGCATGAACTACCGAAATAGTATTCTTGAAAAACTTGAATATTGATTTGATATGGCTATTACGTGCTTCTATTATCCATCTGGATTTTGTGACTAATCTCGAATCATTAGCCTCTGCAGTGTCAAGTTGTCTTTGCCCTTGCTGAAGAAATGCTGGCATTTTATAATCAATTCCGAGGGCTTGCAAAAGAGGTAATACATCTCTGTAGCCGCGATCGATGATCACTATCGCATCCTCTCCTAGTCATTCTCTGAGAGTACCTGCATCTGCTTGGAACTCGTTTCGTAGCATTGCAGCGTCGTTATTTTTAGAATCTGCAAAATAAGGACATGAATGTCTAAAATATAGCCATCTGGTGCATCAACGCAGGTTTGACTAAATGACGTCCTTTGTGTTGGCTAAATGATTGTCTCAGGGCTCGAAAATTGCTAGACTTCTCAATATAAGAATACCATCTATAAGAATGCCCAATATAAGAATGCCATCTATACATACGATCACTGTAGGATTATTAATATCTGGATTGTATAGGGTATTAGAAAATTCAGTAATAATAGTTCTAAAATATTATATTACATGATTATTAATATAATCTTGTCGTGTGATCGCAGTTAGTCCTATATTTCGAGGTACGAAACGTGACATTAATGATTTTCTTACTGTGGCGACGGCCAAGCTAACGGCTTGCCTGCTTTGATAATTAAATAAGACTCTCAAGAAGTCATCACAAAGACCTTGACGAAGTTTACAAAGAAATGCCAATAAATCTTTTTCGTATACATATCGATGGCCGTTCGGTTCAGGTATAGGATCACAGTACTGTAGTAATTCACGAAACTGTTCTTTTGTCATAGAGCTTAATAACTTAAAGTCTTCATCAGATAAGTTATTTTGATTGATAAAGTCAGATTCATGTGCTTTTGGAACTTTCTGTAGATTTGTAAGGAAACATTGCAATTGATAGCCAACTAATCTATAAAGTCTATTCAAATACTGCAAACCCGGAAGAAGTGCTTGTAACAGAAAACCATTTTCAGCTAAATGATGTGGACAAGAACGAACTTCATCTGGAATATATACGTTCACACTTATAAATATTTGAGCTCTAGCTGCTGGTGAAAGCCTATGAACATTATTATTAGCATTACAGATTAGACAAGTTCTCATATCACTTTGTTTAAGGACGTTAAGTCGAATGCATGTAGGATCATCCTGCATATCTATTTCAGATTCAACTAATCTAAAGCATGTCATACATAAACGAGATTCATTTCGTAATTCTTCAATGGGCCTTCGAAGATCTTGTCGAAAACGAATAGCTATTTGTCGCTTATTTTCATTATTATCTCCATCGAGTTTTTTCATTACCCTTGGTTGCCCAGCAACGTCGCAGATAAAACAACGAATTCGATTTCGAAATATTCCATTTTCGAGAATAACTCGAATACATTAAAACCAGTATTCATAGTAAATAAAAGTTAGATTTACTTAATAGTTATTCCGAATCAGATTATGGTAAGTAAAGGAAACATAGGCAAAAACGTTATTATTAGTCTATAACTATCTGTGGATTTATAAACGTGCCGCACCAAGCTCGATGTCATATAATAGCCGCGTTACTTCACTTTCGAGAAACGACGAGACAAACAATATACCGCCGCTAATTTACAGAATTCGATTCATGCACACGTGTTATTATTAGTATAAAATAGTGTATGAAGTTGTTTATCGTATATATATATATCCGAATGACGACGATAAACAACTTCATACACTACTTTATACTAGTAACAACGGGTATCGACATTTTCAACTTTTGACTCATTTTATCTAAAAAACTGGCTATTTTCGGAGCTTGTGCCCATTGCAACTTTTCATCGGGATGTCTTGAACTACAACATACTCCATCCCCAGCCCATTTGACTGTATACCGATTTCCCTTTATTTTGTGCGGGGTCCTTTACATTAAACTCGTTTTTGCCGATAAAGTTTATATAAAGTCCAAAGTTATTTTTGTTTTTTATAATGAAATCAATAATTTTTCTAATTATTTCGCATATAAAATTATTAAGGTAGAGTTATAAAAAAAATCAATTGTGCAGATATTTCATACTTTATTGTAGCATCTATTTTGAAATATGAAATATCTTCTAAACTATTAATTTTTTGATAATTATCTTCCTACCTTAATATTTTTATGCATAGAATAAGGTGAATCATTTGATGTAAAGGACACAGAGTTCCTTCAATAAAAGTTGCCTAATTTTTTGAAACTATGTTTTCTAATCATATTACTTGTTTTTTCTTAAATTTAGCCTATAATGTTAGCACTTCTTTTAGAAAAATTGGAAAAAGTCGACAGGGCAGAACCACTCAACAACAAATTGAAGCTCTAATAACTTATTTAGAACAATATCTTCATGTAGCATCTGGCAAATTTACAACTATGAACAGTAACATACAATTACAAGGAAGTTGAGAAGACTTAGTTACTTTCTTAAATTCATTAGGATCTAAAGGCAAAGAAAAAGATATAAAGTCACGGAAAACTGTAGATATATAATATATAATACGAGATGCTTGGCAACAGGTGCATAAAATTTAAAGAGTAATTCTAGATAATTAAACAAGAAAAAGTAATAAAATTATAATTAAAACATATATATTTTGGATATTTTTTACGTAAACGTTTAAACATTTATAATTAGAAATCCAAGTTTTCACCGCAATAAGTATTGATTTTCGTTTTATTTTATCATTTACATGCACTTTGCGCAAATCTTTACAAAGTTCCTTCTAATTTTTCCTAAAATTTTTCCCTTATTGCCAAACACCTTGAACATCAATATTCAACAAATATTATAATAACTACTAATAAAGCTTTTTTCCTCTTATATTCTTTCTGTTATTGATCGTAAAATTGAAGTTATTAACATATTTATTAAGTATACTGCTTTATCATTTAATAATATTTTTGTTTTCTTACAGACATGGCGAGATCTTAAATGTAAAGTATCAGATAAAGTATTATACAAAAATTGAGAAAAGGAAGAGCAGTAACAGGATATAATTCTGTTAATATAAGTTTATCTGATTTAGAAAAAAGAATTCTAGGAATAATTGGACACGAATATGTATAAGGTATTAGGTGTTGGAATTAATTCGTAACGTTTTACAAGTGATGGGAAGTACTTTCATTAATGTATTTTTTAATGCTCATGTAAAATAAATAACATTCTTTCATTAAAAACGCTACGAATTAATTCCAACACCTAATATAACCGGTGTACCTGACAGTTTTCCCGAAAAACATGATGTAAGTAAAAAGCATATCATTGTCCTCTTTTCTGGACATTTCATTTTGTATCTGTACACTCATATATTCAATTATATAAAATAACATGTATTATGCGCTCATAGAAGAATTGCCATTGAAAAATTGACAGCAGGAAATGAAAATATTTTAACTCCAATTATTATCCCAGAATTAGAAGATAGGTACGTATTATCAATACTTTATTTTATAAAGAAATATATACAATTTATTTTTCAGCTATTACAAATGAAAGTGAATTGAACAATGGAGAAAATTTCATTGAACAGAACGCAATAGATGTCATGTACATCATCATCACAAGGTACAGTTAGCTTAAAATTAAAGTAAAATTATGCCTCAAGATCTTGTACGGGGTAATAATTGTAGTAGTGCGCCCGCGCACGTTCAGCCAACAGAATTCAAAATCTAGGGAAAAGGAAAAATTTCTTTTTCCCTTTCCGTACAGCGGTGCTTTCGGCGCCACGCATGCTCAGCCATCTTCATTGTGTTTCTGTTCACGTCAGCTAACGTTCCTAGCTTTGAGTTTTTTCATCTTACTGTGCTTTTTGGTTTAATAACATGTCGGATTCATAGTCGATCTCGCAGTTGATCAAGATCAAGAGAACATAAGAGACATAGAAAACGCTGAGAATGGGAAAAAACGCGAAAAGTCACATTCTTGACTTTCTTCGAGAGTCCGCGTGAAGTTAAGCGTTCTCGTTTCTTTTCTGAGAATCATTCGCAGTCGTTTTCATCGAGGGCTTTTCCAGCGGTCGGCGAGGCAGCTCTCCTAGAAAGGATCCTAGTAGATAGTACAAGACCAGAGACGAAAAATAGCCTGTTTGGAAAACGAGGTTAGGGAACACGCTCTGCGTTCCCCGGAATCGCAGCCACAAGAAGAGCCAACAGCTCCTGAGAGAGCCGGCACACCGAACCAGGTAAGCTCTCTTGTCAACCTTTTTTTCTCAAAATTGGCAAAGAGGGAGCTTAACCGATGGCTCTTCTGCGGCACAGAAAGGTACATTCCACCACCCGCTTTCCTGCGTTTTCTCAACTTTGCTATCAAATCCGAATCGCTCGGTCACCTTTGAGACCGCGGAGCAGGATGGTGAACCATCCCTCGATAGCCAGTTTTTCCGCACCCACGTGATTCGCTTGAGAATCTACCCTGAGACCTGACCATACTCGATTTCACCGGATCTATTGTTCGAGCCGGGCTGCCAAACGATTTGCATACGCAGCTGCTGTCCAAATTTGAGATTAAGGAGGGACTCTTAGCTTTAGGCCCGCCTAAACTTAACAAGATGCTTCTATCGGTACTTAAGGCCTCTTCGATATCTAAGAGGGATGAATACTAGTCTCTGACTCAGTCGCAGGTGGCAGCTGCCCTCAACGCTTTGGGCTCTCTTGTCTCACAAAATCCGAGGTATCCTCGTTTTTATCAGAGGATGCAAAGTTGGTGCTCAGCCAAATCGCTGAGACCATACAACTGTTAGCGGATCATCAATACAGGTTATCCTTAGCTAGACGAGCTTTCATAAAACCGGCCTTGAACCTACTGAATAAATCGACAGATCTGACCCCGATAGATGAGTGGCTTTTCGGCGCCCTCTCTTCAGGACTTTCGACCTCTTTCATGGATGAGATTAAGGATGCGCAGGCCTGCGAGAAAGTGGCTCGAGTCCTCGTCAGAGCTCCCGCAGCAACCTCCAAAATCCCCCCTCAGTCGATGGGAAAGGCTCAATCGGCACGAAAGCAAGCTTCGCGGGAAACGCGAAAGCCCTTTCAGTCTACCCATCAGTCGAATCAGCCGTATCGCCGAACAGGGGCTTACCAGTCGAGGAACCGACATCGCTCTCCTGCTCCCGCGTTCACCGCCATTAAACTCGATAAGTACCACAGGCCGTCTAGCCAACTTTCTGCGCGAATGGGAAGCGTTAATATCGGATTTTGAAGTTCTGAGCGCCATTCGAGAATATAAGATTCCTTTTCTCAGCGCTCTCAGTTCAGAGAACCAGTTTTTACTACCATAACATCTGCCTACTGTACAGCGGAAGTTGAGAAAGACTGTTAGATAAAGGGGCCATCTATCCGGTACAGCCATCGTTAGATCAATTTCTTTCTTCCTTCTTTTTAATCGAAAAATCCTCTGGGGGCGTGCGATCCTTAATTTGAAAGATCTTAATGCTTACATTAATCCCCCTCATTTTAAGTTAGAGGACTAGCGGACGGTAGTACGCTTATTGCTGCTGGATGTCGAGATGGCTTCCCTTGATGTTGAAGACACCAAGATTCTGCGCTCAGTGGTCGTGTCTTTTTGGGCCGAGGGTTACAAGTCAGTTGTACCTGGACAATTTCCTCCTGTTAGCCCACTCGAAATAGGCCTGTTGTCAGAATGTCCAGACACACATCAACACCCTCTCGCAGTTGGGATTCATTATTAACTTTGGGAAGTCGGAGCTAGAACCCGCATAGCAACGCAAGTATCTTGGTTTCGTGTTCGATTCCGAGGCACAATTTGTTGCGATTCCGGAACAGCGTCGGAATAAATTACATTCGAAAGACAGAAGTTTTTAGCCCTTATGAAATCCAATAATGATTTCAATGCGAAAATGGTTATCACATCGGATCTCACCGAAGATTCGAGGCTCAATACATTGGCCGATCGGTTTCAAGCAAACTCTATCTTATCTGGCCATTTTGTATGCGAAATTTTTTTCGATGCTTCTTTTACGGACTGGAGCGCTTCCTCGATTTCGGACTGGATTCACGGCTGATGATCGGTCAAAGAAAAGACTCTGCATATTAATCCGTTTTCCGGAACTCAAGGCCGCCTTTTATAGTTTAAAATGTTTTGCGTCTCATCTCAGCGGTGAGATTCTTCTAAGAATAGATAATACCACATCCATGGTATATCTTATTTTAATCGTTTAAATATCCCCATTTATCATTTCTTTCTAAGGATATTTGGCAACGATGTGAAGCTAGAAATATCTGGCTGTTCGCCTTCTACATTGCCTCTGCCGAAAACACTATTGCGGCTGAAGACTCTCGCCAGGACGCAGACACGGAATGATCTCTGTCCAGGGAGATTTTTTAGTTAATTGACAGGGAACTCGGCCCTTTCGATATTGATTTATTTGCCTCCAACGTTAATACGAAATGTGACATTTTTGTTTCGTGGTTTTCAGATCCAGAGTCTTTTGCAGTCGACGCGTTTACCCTTGACTGGGGGGAACTTTATTTTTAGGCTCTCCCCCCTTTTATTTTACTTCCCCGGGTTTTACGAAAAATCATTAATGATCGAGCAGAGGAGGTTGTAATCGTTCCGTGGTGGCCGTCGCAATCCTGATGTCCTCTCTTCAGGCGTCTCATGAGCTTGGAACCGATCATTAAATCCAGCGGATGATTTATTGTTTTCTCCTTTTAGGATCCGTCATCCAGCAACCAGCTCGCTTTCTCTGACGGCAGGGCGTCTATCGGGCAGGCTTTTCAAGTCAGAGGCGTCCCTCAGCCCGCCGTTGACACCATTATAGCGTCTCTCACGCTATCGACTATCTGCCAATACTCAAACTCTCTGCGCTCCTGATGGGAATACGCTCATCGTCATCATTTTTCGCTGTTTGCACCGGAAACCAAAGACGTTCTTCTTTTTCTGTCAGGCCTATTGCAAATAGTATGTTCCTATTCTGCGCTTAACGTCGCCAGGTCAGCGATCTCGCTTGTTTCAACTAATACGATCGACGATAAACCTCTCATCAGGTGATTTTGTAAAGGCGTCAGCGTGTTGAAACCATCTCGTCCGCGCTACGATTATATCTGGGATCTCTTCCCGGTAGTAACGAAACTGGTCATTTTCTTTCCTCACGAATCCTTGTCTTTAGAAACTCTCACGAAAAAGTTAGTTTTGTTGCTAATTCTGGCATCAGGCCAGCGTTGCCAGACCCTAGCGGCGATTCGTGTCTCGATCTCAACGGAGAGAGCTCTCATTTGTATTCCAGACCATCTAAAAACCTCAGCTCCAGGTCGGTCCTAACCACTGTTATCATTTCCCTGCTTTGAGGGGCACAGAAATCTATACGTTGTCATCTTGCTCTCTTATATTTCGCGGACTCGAGCCCTTATATTCGCCCTTCAACCTATGATTTTCTTTTTATCGCGCTCAAAAGCCCACACACAGCAGTGGGATTCCAGACGATCAGTTGCTGGATTAGATCCACCTTATCGGATTGCGGAGTTAGCGATGTCTTTTCCACACACAGCACGCGGCACGCGTCGACATCTCTCGCGACTCGGAAAGATGCCCTGGTAGATCTTATTAAGAGTGCGGCAAGATGGTCTGGCGAATCCCGTGTCTTCGCAAATTTATTATAATAGATTATAGATTATAGATACGGTTTTACGCGCAGACCAAGAAACATCCTAACTTGACGCCACGCCATTTCGGCGGTTTTCCAGATTATTTGATGTTAATTTCAATGGTTATTGTTATATGCATTAATATAAATATATAATATTTTTAAGGAAAAGCATTATTATAAACATAAATAGTTTTACATTGCTTGTATTTTTTATTTAAAAAAAAACACGTTATCTACCGGCCGATGGCGCTGTAACTATATCCAGACTTCTTTTCAGATAATTTTTCTGCTTTCTATCCTATATTGACACGGACGAGTTACGTTCTAAACATCTACAATTATTACTCCATCCGGACGAGATCTTGAGGCATAATTTATAGATCAAACAAACTTACCAAGTGAAGTTCGATCATAAGTAATTATGCCGATGGGTCTCGTCCGGATGGAGTATCTCCCTTGATCTCCCCAGCATATGTTATTAGGTGACTCGCCCGAATCTTTCCTGTTCTATGAAGAATAGTCGAGCACGCGCGGCGCCGAAAGCGCCACTGTACAGAAAGGGAAAAATTTCTTTTTCTTTTCCCTCAGATTTTGAATTCTGTTGGCTGAACATGCGCGGGCGCACTACTACAATTATTATTCCATCCAGACGAGACTCATCGGCATAATTATGATCGAACTTCACTTGATAAGTTCGTTTGATCTATAAATTTGTTTCATTATTCTAGTTTACACCGAGCATTTAATACTAATGTCTGATTCCATCATAATGACTACATTTACATAATATCCTCAATTAGGTTTAATAACATCCATAGTTTAAAACTGGCCAATCACCGTCGTTCTATTCTTCTGAGGAACAGCTATTATTGGCCAATTTCATAACTATGTTATTAAACCCAATTAAGCATGCTGTATAGCAGACCCAGTGTGAAATAACAATGAAATCGATGTCGATTTAATGCTTTCGACGTCGAATCGATATTGACTCAATATCGATTCTATTATCATTTCTCACTGGGAAGGTCAATAATAGTTTAAGTTAAATTATTATTGATGAAACTGAGCATTATTACGCGTATTAAGTACGTGGTGTAAATTAGATCGTATTATTAAACTTTACTGTATATTCTAAATATTAACACTTTTTTATTTTCAGTAAATAGAACACAAATCAGACCGAGTGAATGCAGAAAACGTAAATATATTACGGCCGGTATTCATAGTCGATTCTTATACTCAAGACTGTCTTAAGTATAGTCTTAAAATGTCACGAATCAATCAGAGAGCCGTATTAGCATCTTAAAACATTACTTAAGACGGTCTTGAAATAAAAACTCACTATGAATATTGGCCTACAACACTAAAATTTTAAATAAACAAATATTAAATCATATGTGTATATTTCCGATTTAAAATAAATTTTTTTATTTTTTTTATACATATTTGCAAATAGGCATGCAGAATGTTTAGGAGTACAATTATATGATGCTCTTTTGAGGCAATAGCAGACAAACATGCTGAAACAATGATTGTTAATCTTATTGTCAATTTAAGAGTATTTTAATTTTAATAATAAGAAAATTTTGATCAATTTATGTATACACAACTAACTTGGTAATAAGCCTTTTTATCAGAGCTGGAATATAGTGCTTAATATTCTTTGTAATTTTATACATTTTCAAATTCATCAAACTAGTATGCCGAGTACATTTTCACTCTTAACACACTTCTAAATTGAACTAGAATAGTAATATTATAATAATAAATTGATAATCATTGAATTTATTAGTCATTTAATATTGTAATATTATTACTTTCATTCAGTTTAGAACTCACAAAATCGAAAATTTGTTCGATGCGCAGTTTGATGAACTTAAAAATGTATATAAAATCGCACAAAAATATTAGTTAAATAGTATTAAAAATTTAACTCTAACCTAATAATTTTATTACTAATTGTTATAATTATACTTTAGTTTAATAATATTATATGTTTATAGATGCTAGCTGAGGCTATGAAATCGCAAGCTGAAGCATTATTGCGAATAAGCGAAGTTTCGAATAGAATGGCAAAGAATGAGGAACGGTAAACACAGTTATTAGAAATCATATTTGAATGTTTGAAAGACAACGGTACATAAATTTAAGGATATATAAACTTAATTCTTTTTCATTATTATTTTATATATTTTATAATATTTTATAATAAAAAATATTTTATAATACAAAATATTTTATCATACAGATCAAACGTTTATGTTTATCAATATAATAAACTCGAATTATTTTCATCTAAAATTACTCACTGTGCTATTGCTCTAGACCCTCTGCGTACTACATTTTGTTCTTCTTCTACATTATTTGCTTCAGTTGCATGTCAAAGATTACATTTTCTTCTATCTTCAATGGGAATTGATAGTATACATGTATATTATATAAAACTGCGCATGCATTTACAATTAATCTACTAATATCTGGAGCATACATAAATATACATTGGTAAGATAAACATCTCCATGTTCCCTTTAAAATTCCAAATACTCTTTCAACGATATTCCGTGCTTTACATAATTTCTGACTATAATGATACTGACGACTCCACTGAGGATGAATTTGCCAACGGTGTCATTAACCATGGCTCTAATGGATATCCAGCATCTCCTGTAAATATATATGTGTACAGTTATGTGATTTAATTCTCCGGACATAAGATCTTAAGTCTGTTCTTTTTATCTAAATTTCTGAAACACAGTTCACCTTTCCTCTTTTTCTTTTCATTATTTTTTTCCTCATATCTTTTCAGAGAAAAAAGAGAAGAGATGAACTGTCCAAGAATTAGATCAGCTAAACAGATCAAATCTATGACAGTTTATTTCATGTCACAAGACTAACTAAATATTTAAGACTTACTAAATATTTAAATCTTTTTGGAGAAAGCTATTGGAAGTGAAAAATCTTTCTCAGTGATGTACATTCCTATAAAGAATATTACTTTAGATGGAAATATGAAATTTTAACTGTATATAATTACACATATAAAAAATAAGAGCATAAAAAACCAGAGCACAAGTTATAGTTTGTGATATTTAATTATTATTACATTAATTAAAACATTAAACGTTTAGGCCACAATCTGGCCATCTTCAGTAATTCAATAATATTCTTAAAACGCAGAGTTACATCTAATTGACGTTAAATTCAACAGTCGAGAGTTGTAATTAAATAAACATGTTCTTTTATATGTGAAGATGCTTCATACAGTAATGTTACACCGTCAATTGTCATATCAAGAAAAGTGTAGAACAAGAATTTCCAGATTCTAAATAAAATTGTATATATTAAAATCTTCTAATCGGAATATAAAGAAATAGAATCATTACCTGTTTTACAGCAAAAAACCAAGCGATGAATCTCGAGTATTTCTTTTACACAGTTAGAATTTTGTCGTGACATTATGTGTTGTTATTTGTCCTATCATATATTTTACCACTATTTATATATCTGAGTCAAAAATTGTTAGAAAGTTCTAGAATTGTTTATTAACGGAAAGAGACATCCTTCTTTAGAAGAGGAAAATAAACCTCAGGCAAACCTTCCGTGTCACTTTGCTTATTGATACCACTTGTTTGTCTTTTTATATGTATCATTT